CTTTTTTATTTTTGCTTTTGTTGCCTATGCATTTGGGGTTATATCCAAGAAATCATAGTTTTTGGATTTCTTTTGTTAGCATCTTTTTTTAAAAAAGTATGTATCATTTCAGATTTATTACCTTTTAAAAACAGTATTTAAGTATAAACCCTATTTTCTACCTTGTTTTTCTTCCCAGAGAGCAAAATGATAATTAAAGGGTAGTGGTAAAAGCATCCTCTTAGAAAAAATTCCAGTGCTTTGTGCAGCCTACATTTCTTTAGGTCTCCTCTCCTTCTTTAGGTCTCTTTCTCATTTTCCTTACTTTGTAACCTTTTTACCACAAACCTGGCCTGATGTCTTTCTGGCTTTACTCTCCTGATTATAAGAACTCTAAATATTGTCCATTAACGTGTAGCTGCTGATTTTGCCCAGTCTCTCACTTGGAGTTCATACTACGGAACCCTTCCTTATCCCTATGTCAGCTTCTTTCTCCAGACACCTTCGTGACATTTCCCATCTAATGGCCTTAGCAGGCTGATGTCAACACTGCCAGTCACCAGTTGTCTTCGTAGGGCTTTTCTAGGCAGAGTGTTTGCTCACCTGATTTTAGCTCAAATCAAAAACAAAAATAAAACACCCAGGCACTTCCTAGTGGTGAAAGCCCAGCAGATGAATCCTACACAGAGGACTGAACTCCACTGAAGAAAGTGGTCATCCGCAAGAGCAATGGAGTATAGGTTAGAGATTAAATCTTGAGAAGTCATCCTGTCCATACTGAGCATCCTTAGCTCTGCCATCATAATTATCAAATCAATTATTAATAGCACAGATGCACTGTCTATACTTTATTTCACAGCTCCATTGACTCAGTAATACACATGGTGTCACCAAATGAGGAACAGTTTTAAAGTTTGTGTACCGCTGTATACTTTTATGAAATTGATGTATGAATTGTTTTAATTACTCAGATAAACATTTTTTTAAGCTCTTCACAATCTAATGCTAGTTTTGAAACTTGAGAGAAAGTCATACTCATATTTTTCTTCTAAGCATATTAAAAATATCAACCAGTACACAGACAAGGTATTAAGAAATCTGTGGTCTTTTTAAGGGTGAGTTGTATTTCTGATGAGAACATCCTACTACTGTATCTGGTTTTAGCATCAGTTATTTGTCTCAGCTAGCCAGAAGAGAATGTGCTGGCATTTTGAAATTTATTTTTTTACTTTTTATTGAAAAATTTCAAGCATACACAAAAGTAGACAGAATAGTATAAATAACCCTACGTGTATCCATCACCCCGCCCCAATGACCATTAACCCTTGCCAATCTTAACCCATCAGTACCCCAATCTAAAACTTCCACCTCATATTGTTCTGAAATAAATTGTAAATGTTGTATCATTTAAATTGAGATTTGACTTGAAGAATGTTGAACTTGATTTTTAAAGACTGCTAGCATCCATCAGTATTTATTATTATCTCTCTTTGTTTTTGCGTCTCAAAAATAAAAAGATACATGCCCAAACAACAACAAAACACTGCCACATTTTTTTTCTTTTATTTCAGCATATTATGGGGGTACAGATGTTTAGGTTACGTATGTTGCCCTTGGTCCCCCCCCCC